AAAAACACTACAAGAAGTCATTATTGGTTAATGACATTAAAGAAAATTGTAAGTGCACTTACATGTATTACTGAAACCGCAGATTGAAAGACGAAAGTACAAAAATGGTTAATCCTCTTTATGCACCTCGTAAACTGGGTCGTAAAATATTTTGTAGATTCAAAGGGCGTGACTTTTAAAATTAAAAAGCATAGTCTAGAAGATGTTGTAAAAAGATCACAAATACAAAAAAAAAAAAGAAAAAAAAAATAAATAAATAAAAAAGGATAATAAAATTTTTTCTTCAATGTCTCTACAGTTTTGAGTACATTGTCCAATCCAGAAATAAGGGCTATAATATTTCATATTATATAGCCGGCTCACATACTCGTCTAAACCATTTGTATAGTATTATACTGTGTTGCAAAGGAGAACATCACAGTGTTTTTACAGATGGTAGAAGAAAATTTTTAACTGTTTATTTATAACAGTACCTATGCAGCAACAGTATAGGATTGATAATGTGAGCTCCGAAAAGATATTAGTATAATAATGAAAAATTTTAATTTATTGATTTATTGTATTTATTGTTTTTTACAGATTAAGGCACTTGGATACAAGTCTTGCACTTTGCTGAGTCATGACTGGAATGGAGCTTTGGCATGGAAAGGTGGCCACTGCACCATAATATAATCTTGCCGCAGAATCTTGTCCATTAGACGGAAGTTATCAACAGAAGTGTTGATATAAATTTGGAAGTATTTTGTGGTATTGAACCAATAATGTCAAAAGTGCAGGCACTGTCATCCAAAGACAGCAAAGAAAGAATGCCTGGTATGATACCAATTCTAAAAATAAATTAATTAATTAAAAAAACAACAATTCTAGGTCTTTAAGGTTTGCCTTGAAAAGGTGTCTGGGATCTTTATACGTTATGGGAAACTGCCCACCTACCCCTCCCCTAAGCTAACATTAACACTTACCTGTAATCATTCCGACAATCATATGCTTTTGATTCCTATTGAAATACTTAAAAATGGGCGTGATTCTTTCAGGAAAGCACGTGAAGCCCACCTTATCCATAAGGCTAAGACAATTGAGCCTCTGGGCATCAATAAACGTGATGAACTGTAACTATATATAGTATATCTTTTATTTTTTTTGTTATCTTGTCTTTTTAAGTAGCCAACACCATACCACGTCATATTATGTAATTTCCGGTCATTATTTTACTTCATGATATATTTCTGTAAATTCGTGATATCTCAAAAAACCTGATGAAGACTGGTATTGGCCAGTCGAAATATCGCAACTTAACTCTATTTCACGTTGTTTTATCAGTCCCTGCAAAAGTCTTTTTCAATTAAAACTTACTTCTCACTTAGGAAAAAAATGTTGGCTCAGGGGAGGGTAGGTGGGCAGTTTCCTAGAAACGTATAATGATCCAGGCATGCCTTATAGAAAGTGAAAGAAAAGAACTAAAGAAATGCTGAGATTATTTGTTGGTGTCCATTTTAGGGAGTTGTCCGTCTTATAGAGGGGAGTTTGTCTGGAGTAAGTTGAGTGTACATCAAGTTTATGTGAAAAAAACCTTGTTAACGTTCTCACCTTTTTCCTGCAGATTATAGCGGAGCTCCGGCGCGCGAAGCGCGCCAGCGGAGCACCATGGGTAATAAAATTTGGTAAACCATCCATCCGAGAAAATTTGGTTATGACGTAGCGTACGCCCGTACACTATTTGCGGGGGAGGGAAGGGAATCAGGTGTCAACCCGTCCGGGAGAGGATGTATGTTATAAATCGCGCGATGCATTTGTGCAACCCACCTGTTTCTTGGCGGGAAATCGCGCAAGAAATGACGTGGTTGTCGTCGCGTTCAAAAACATGTTTACTTCAACGGAACTAGTTCATTGCATAAGGATTTTGTGTCCGGAGAGCTCAGTTTCTAGTAAACTATTTCGAAGAAATTGTTATGGCAACAAACAATAGCGGATTGGATTCAAGCTATTTGCTTGTAAGTGAAAAGCGACGGGAAAGAGAAGAAGAGAAAGGCATAGAGTAAGAATTAACAGGCGCGCTAGCGAAGAGGATTCAAGTGGAAAATTTATGCAGCATCTGCGACTTGTTCACTGATAGCTGAAGCTGACAGAGTTTTGAGTCATCTTTTGATGTTTTTACCTGTCTTTTTGCACTGGATATACAAAATGAAATACAGCAGCTATCAACATTATTTTGTTATTCTTGGCTGGCTTGTTTACTGGGTTGTGGTTGAGAAATGCGCCGCACGACAAAAAGAAATCGGGAATCATCGTTTTCAGAAATAAGCTACTCTTAGTAAGCTTACTTCGCCTTGCTGGACCATGCGAAAAATCTTAAGCGATTCTGGCCTTACTTGATGGGTTTCCGTGCTGCATCTCGACCGGTAAGCTTGAATAATTTTATTGCATTTTATGTGTTTTCTTTTTTCATGTTTATGCACAGGTAGCCCAAGCTCGAAATATGAGCATCGGCGAGCATCGGCATTGTTGCGTAACATTCAAAATATAAGGATTTGTATGAGAAAAAAAACTTTCGTTTCTGTAACCTACGAAAATGAAAGGATTTCAAAAAAAAAACAGCTTACCTTACTTAAAATGTGTGTTCAATCTCTCCTGTGTGGTCCACGGGCCGATTTATGGCCGTTTTATGGGTTTTTATGTTAACGGTTTTCTCTCTATATAAAGGTTTACCAAGGTTGGGCACTCCAGCGAAGCGGCTCGACTGATCCACCGAAGGAAAACGGCCGTAAATTCGCTCCAACTGTTCCAATCGCCTCCAAATTCCGCCTAGGTAACACACGATAGTTCTCCTTTCCATTCGTTACC